TATTGTTTAAATAGAACCTTAAAATTGTAATAAAGCAGCAGATGATCACTGACTCCTGACTCTGCTCATCCCTCTCGCGTCGACGCCTTATCCACCAAACAGGGGACCCTTCACCCTGCCGCGGCTGGACTGCGGCACTTATTTTATTCTCCTGTCTCTCTTATTCTGTATGACTTTACTATGATCTTTATATATTATAACCATACAATTGCACCTACGAACCCCCTTGGTTGTTAGAGGCTGGTTTGTTCTGACATCTGTTCACTGTGAATCATCCTATGAACACATAATATTTAAGGATGAATAAAGGCTCTCCCACATTCCTTACACTAATTGGGCTTCACTGCTCTATGTGTCTTTTTATGATAAGTGAGGGTTGAGGACCTACTAAAGGCTTTCCCACAGTCTTCACATTTAAAAGGCTTCTCTCCACTGTGGATTCTTCTGTGTGCATTTAGAGTTGAAGAGTAATTAAAGGCTTTCCCGCATTCCTTACACTTATAAGCCCTCTCTCCACTGTGGATTCTTCTGTGTGCATTTAGAGTTGAAGAGTGCTTAAAGGCTTTCTCACATTCCTTACACTTATAAGGCCTCTCTTCACTGTGAATCCTGCTGTGACTACTTAGGGCTGAATAGCTCTTAAAGGCTTTCCCACATTCTTTACATTTAAAAGGCCTCTCTCCAGTGTGAACTCTAGTGTGTTCAGTTAGTATGGAAGAGTGCTTAAATGCTTTCCCACATTCCTTACATTTATAAGCCCTCTCTTCACTGTGAATTCTTAGATGAGTAATCAATGTGGGAGAGTGTTTAAAGGCTTTCCCACATTCCTTACATTTGTAAGGCTTGTCTTCACTGTGAATTCTGCTATGAATACTGAGTGCTGAAGAGTGCTTAAAGGATTTCCCACATTCTTCACATTTGCAAGGCCTCTCTCTAATGTGTACTCTAGCATGCTTAGTTAGTTCTGAAGATTGCTTAAAGGCTTTCCCACATTCTTTACATTTAAATGGCCGCTCTTCACTGTGAATTTTGCTATGTGTACTTAGTGTTGAATATTGCTTAAAGGCTTTCCCACATTCCTTACATTTAAAAGGCCTCTCTCCGCTGTGAATTCCTCTATGTACACTTAGTACTGAAGAGTACTTAAATGTTTTCCCACATTCCAGACATTTAAAAGGCCTCTCTCCATTGTGAATTCTTCTATGATGATTTAGAGCTGAAGACTGCTTAAAGGTTTTCTTACATTGTTTACATTTAAAAGGCCTCTGTCCAGTGTGCACTCTGGTATGTTTAGTTAGTTCTGAATTGTCCATAAAAGCTTTCCCACATTCCTTACATTTATAAGGCCTGTCTTCACTGTGAATTCTAATATGTTTCTTTAATGCTGAAGAGTGCTTGAAAGTTTTCCCACATTCCTTGCATTTATAAGGCTTCCATTCACTGTGGATTCTCATATGGGCAGTTAGGTTCCAGGACTGACTAAAGGTCTTCCCACATATCTTACACTCATAAGGCCTCTCTCCACTGTGAGTAGTGAAATGCACAGCTAGTGTGGATGGATATTTATAAGTTTTCCCACATTCACTACATTTATAAGCCTTCTGTCCAGTGTACTCTCTTTTGTGTTCTTTGAGGTTAGAGGAATGACTAAACGATTTTCCATATTCTTTACATTTGTAAGTCCGGTCTTCACTGTGACTTTTCACTTTAGTGAAAAGTGATGAGAAGGCACAGGATTGCCTACAATCTATATGGTTACAAAGTTCCTCTCCATAAAGCGTTTTTGATGAAGGTTTTAGATAAGAGGGACAACTGTGAGTTTTCTCACATTCCTTGTGCTGGTACTGTTTGCAGTCAGTGTGTAATCTGATGCAAAGACCGAATGTATGATCACTACCATCATGAAATTCAAAAGGAGCAACACCAGCAGCAGTTCCTTTGTAGACAGGAAGATTTTCAGTCCGGCAGAAATATTTTTTGCTCTGATCAACTTCACTGTATTTCGTTATTTTCTGTTCTATAGTTGTAGGGCTGGTCTCTGCCACATTTCTTCTGTTCAAAATAGGGAGTAAATTGTTAGAATTATATTTTTTACCATTTCAAAATTACCATACACAAAAACCATATAATTTCCCCCATGGATTGTCTGAAGTGATATAGCATTATTATCAAACTGAAGCATTTATAAAATACTATCTGACAGCATTTATAGAATCAATATATTACATTAAGATCTATCCCCCGGCGGCCCCCACCCCATGGGTATGGTACCTCAAAGACCTTTCCTGGTTGTGAGTTTTACTGCCATTGGTTTCATCTAAAATGGAAGACCAGAAATCGCTCTTCATGAATCGAAGTATGTGCTCACTGGACCACTCTTGTAGGTTATTTTCCTTTTGAGAGACTGTCCAGTAATTTAAGTGGAGTTGCATAAGATAAAAACAGAAAAGAAATGTGATGACGAAACAAGAACTGAGGCATTTTATGTCCCAAGAGTTTTATAAAGTCTTAAGAGTAAAATATATTACTGAGAATTATTCACAGGATGATGGAACAACATTAACTGGACAGCAGTCAGTCTAACAATATATTCATATATAAAAGCTTCAATAACTAAAATAAAGCCATCCTTACCAGCATCTAGGTTCCTGAAAGTTTCCACCATCACATCTCTGTAAAGTTTCCTCTGAGCAACGTCTAGCAAAGTCCATTCTTCTTGAGTAAAGTCAATGGCCACATCCTCAAATACCACAGAATCCTAAACATCACATATATTATGGGTAAGCAAGATAGGTATCTGACAATGTGTGCAAAAGGATGAGTGAGGCTGTGTTACCAGGGAAAGAAAATTTATGGGAATATCACAAAGTTCAGTACTCACTAGGTTTTGGACATCAGCATTGTCTTTTCTCTTTGAATATAGTACTTGGCTTGGAGACTCTTATTCCATAGATAAAAGAGTGTTACAAGCACATCAGATGCACTTTTCTAGTTCTACTCCAAAAGGGTAGGAAATCATTGCTACTAGGGCTCCAGTTACATGATGGGTTTCTCTGAAGCAAATCAATTTAAACATTTCTTGGCAAATCAGTGGATGGATTCAGACAAGAGCATCCGTGATAGCTTTGACTTTCTCTTGCTGGGATGTCTTTGGGAAAAAAAAGGCGGCTAATTTTGTGGTACAAAAATTTTTAAGTGAATTTTGTCAGGGCGCATAAGAAAAATTAGGAAGACGCAAGTACAATTCTTCCCAAATCACTGAATTTGGCAAAGAGTTTATTGGAATGATATACCACACTACACAACAGATTTGAGATGGACCAAGAATTTTAAGAATCGTAAGAAAACTTTCAAACTGAACCAGGATAGGAATTATGAACTTCAAGGTGTAAAGATACTAAGTCTTACATCCAGAAAGTGGTAACAGAATACCTAAAGGTTACCCCTGATGTTTTCCTTTGGGGTACTATAACAGTTTAGACTCATAACAATCAGATGTACTCAATAAAATCAAATACTGCAGTCCCGTGCCATTGTCACATTACTTGAGCCCATTACTACAGCCACTGTGTCACCCCATCTGTTTGGCAGGCTTCCTCATTAGGGATCACTCACTTCACTAAGCTTGATGTCCTTTACCAAGAACTGGTCATTCCTCATAACATGTCTAAAGTACATCAGACAAAGTATTGCTATTTGCCCTATTAAGGGACATCCTAGCTTAACTTCTTCCAAGATGGATTTGTTTGTTCTCCTGAGCATTCATTGCTGCTGTATCACAGTTGTCTGTCAGTGTGTAGAACTGCGGTGGCCTGTGTGTTGCTACGACACTGGTCTTTCAAATATCAGATGGTCAATGAGGGTGAACAGATTTCTGCAAAGATTGCAAACTCAGTATAGACTATGAAGAATAGGCTGTCAACTTCAGAGTATTTAGCCACTGAAACCACCATGCAGAGTAGTAGGATACTGTCAAGGTAGTGCCAGAAGAAAAGACTGTCAGGTCAGAAGGCATTCAAGTATGGATGAAGAAGAGCTGCCTTCTCAAAGTAGAGGCGACCATAATGAAGTGGATGGGTAAATCCATCAGGAGTAAAGCCTTCTGGTCCTTCCAGTGTCCTGGAATTGCCATTCTTCTAAAGGTTATCCATACTTTATTAGGATCCACACAGTTCACTGCCTTGGCACAGTCAATAAATAACAGTAAATATTTTTCTGCTATTCTCTGCTTTTTGCTAAGCTCTATTAGACCTCAGTAATGATATCCCATGTTCTCAAGCCTCCTGAGTTCAGCTTGGATTTCTAGCAGCTCCACATCAATGTATTGTTCCAATCATTTAATGATCTTCAGAAATAATTTACTTACAGGTGATGGGAATGATACTGCTCATGATTTGTGCATTGTGTTAAATCACCTGTTTTTGGAATGGGTACAAACCGATCTCTTCCCGTGAGTATTCATGTGTGGGAAAAGTTGTTTGCTCCTTAGGAAAATGGGACAGGATCATACCACGTTCCATGGCACAAGACTGTGAGAACATGCTGATGACTTAACCTGGGGAGCTAATGAAGCAGCGGCTGGTCTGTCTCTCCACCTGAGATAAAACAGACACTTTGCCTCCTGCTCCCTGGCAAAAGCTGCAGAAAGCACCAGTCTGTGAACTTAACAGTTACTTCATGGTCCCAATCTTGTCCTCCCCTCCAGTCTGTGAACAGTTTGAGTGATGTATTAATATTTCTTTGTATACCCTCAATAATGGTCCTTTGCCATTGGGCCTCCACTCAAGTACTCTCTCAACACAAGAATACTTTCTTCTAGTAAATTGGCATTCTAGGATGCTCACCTTCCCGACACAACCACTGAAGACAAAGCGGGTGAATAAGCAAATGTGGTGAAGAAAGCTGATGGTGCCCGGCTAT